GTGTGTGTGTGTGTGTGTGTGTGTGTGTGTATACCCCACATCTTCTTAATCCATTCATCCATTGATGGACATTTGGGCTCTTTCCATACTTTGGCTATTGTTGATGGTGCTGCTATAAACATGGGGGTGCATGTGTCCCTTCGAAACAGCACACCTGTATCCCGTGGATAAATGCCTAGTAGTGCAATTGCTGGGTCATAGGGTAGTTCTATTTTTAGTTTTTTTGAGGAATCTCCATACTGTTTTCCAGAGTGGCTGCACCAGCTTGCATTCCCATTTACTGGTTTACATCTTTAGCTGACAATTAAATAAACTCAGAATTTTTTTTTCAGTAAGCTTTGTTTTATGACCTGACATTTGGGTTGTAAGAGTTGTTATTATTACCATTATTATTCACCATAATAAATAGCACTTGCAATAGGCCCAGTATTTCACTATACAGTGCTCTTCATGAAAATCAAATTTAATCCTATTATCATTTAATAGATAGGGAAACAGGTTTAGAGGAGTTAAGTAACTTATTCACAGTCACAGAGGAAGAAGAGACAAAACAGGGTTCAGGACGTCCTCTTAAACAAACTACAGATAACTCTGACTACTGAGCATACAAAGGTTTATATCCTACTAAATCTGTCCTTAAAGGAAAAGAAAATCTTCTAAGCAAAAAACGACACTCTTGTTGGTTTGACTAGGTCTTTGAAGAACAGAAAAGAAGCCAATGAGAATTAAGCCCCTGACACAGCTGCAGTCTTGTGGGGGGAAAGCTAACCAAATCTGGCCTGTAGACTAAATCTGGGGGCTGTCTAGGGCTGCAAAGCTGCCACGCAGACATCCTGAGCAGGAGATTCACAGACACCCAGCCCACTGCACTGACTCTCTCAGGACAAAATGAGGGGTGGCTAGGTCATGCTGCTCCAGAGGGGCTACTGAACCCAGTCCTACCAGGACCCTCATCCATCCAAAAGGTAGTATTCCCTGGAGCCCAGAGAGCTCTGCCCTGAGATCAGGAATAGAAGTAGGGGTAGAAGGGGGTGCCTAAAGCCAATTCTCTCTCTTCCTTCTTTGTTTAACATTCCTAATAAGTAGGGTTGTTCACTTTAAAAAATAAAAAGGCCAGGGCACCTGGGTGGCTCAGTCGTTAAGCATCTGACTTCCACTCAGGTCATGATCCCATGGTTCAGAAGTTCAGGTCCCACATCAGGTGAGCACGAGCCTCGCTTTGGGTATAAATAAATAAATAAACAAAACCACGAGCTCCACTTCAGATGAGCCCACTTCTCTCTCTCTCTCCCTCTCTTTCTGCCCCTTGCTCACTTACATTCTCAAATAAATAAATAAATAAATAAGGAAGTACATAATGTTTAGAGTAAAAGCCAAGTTCCTCAGAGGGACCTGCCAGGTTCCACATTCCCTGGTGACCTATGGCCTGACTCCATCTATTCTCCACCCTTCATTCGCTCCATTGGAGGCACACTGACCTCTCCTCCTAAAGCCTTGCACTGGCTGGTTCCCATGTCTGGAATACCTTTCTCCCTGACATATTGCTGGTATTTTCCAAGAACCTGGACCTGGACCTAACATTTAAGAGTTAAAATATTTTTGAATGAATAAGTGGTAACAGCAGAGTTAATTAAGAAAGAACTAAAAGGTTAGGCAGAAGACAGATAAGAGGTTGTCAACACTGTCAAAACCTAAGTCTCCTATTTTTTAAAAAAAGATTTTATTTTGGGGGCGCCTGGGTGGCTCAGTTGGTTAAGTATCTGACTCTTGATTTTGGCTCAGATCATGAACTCAGGAGCCCCACGGG